GTGAGTTTCAGTCTGCATGCATTTTTCACATACAAAATGCCACTTCTCAATCGCCATAATAGATTATGGGTGATTGTAGAGTTATAAATTGATGTTATAACCTTTCCAGAGTCACTATTATGGAGGAGAATGGCTGATATGCATGTGCTTGTAGCCTCTTCGTTTGGAGTCATTCTGGGCTGGAAACTTTATAAAGAGGGAATTACAGACATTTTCCAGCAAGAGGAAGGAAGGTAACCATTCAGAGGAGTTTTGGCCAATATTCAATTACATTAGGAGAATAAAACAGATTATGTTATCATAACAGAGAATGTTCTGGACTCCTGCTGACGGTTTTCTGGCTGCTGTTGTGTCGACATTCAGGAAGGTAAATGCATTACTTTATGATTTTAACATCCAGAAATGCTATTCTGTTGACTAACTCGGTATGAATGTTTTTCAGCTGATCATGAATGAGTGTTTGTGTCCTGTAGGAGTTCTGTGGGCTCTGTGAGGATCTGCACTGCTGTGGGAATCACTGTGTTTCCCTTCATCACGTGGATCTATTACTACATGAACACAGAGCTGAGGAAACACTGGCCTGAACACTGTACAACTGCTCTCTGATCAGCCAAAACACTCAAGAAACCACATCTGAACTCTGGATCGGCAGAACATACAGATGAACTAAACTTTACTGAAATGGACTGATAATATGATCTTGAATAAATATTTAATAATTCAAACATTGTAGAAATACAAACTCTCCGAACACCAGTGCTGCAAACATGATAATGTTATCTGTTCCCTCAATAGCCTGAATAAAATGAATGTAAATAAGAGTATGTGTGTCATAATGCTTTTAATGTAGATAATGTTATAATGAAGGATCTGATCTGCCATCTGAAGGTTTAAATATACATTCTCATTATTATTTTATGTACACTGTTAAGCTTTGCTTACAGCTGTAATTAGTTTTAAATAAATTAACATCACATATATACAAAGTAAAAGTGTTATGACACAATAAAACATGTTACATATATATACAGCTATTTACAAAACCAAGAAAACAGTACAAATAACAATAACACTGAACTCAGCTCGAGTTCAATGTGATCAAACAGTGTCATTATTGTATTTGTTTGAAGCTTTTTACAGTCCATGTTGTTTCAAAGCAGTTTTGCAGAAAACTGTACCTTAATATCTTGTGTGGGATAAATGTGAAATAGTTTTCTCTGATTGTTGACAGTTTGTGATTTCACTGAATCAGGCTGTGTTTCCTCCTGATCTTCAGTCTTCAGATCTGTCAGTTCATG